CACACACACACACACACACACACACACACACACACACACACACACACACTCACACAACTATAAGCTTCCAGGGTGCAGAGACTGTGTCTTAACTCTCTTGTCACATTGCTTTCCTTCCTTGGAAACACTGATCCCAGGCCTAGCAAGATGCAAGCAGGAACCCTGCTGCTGGGGCACTTGTTCTGCAGGGCATTGGAGTACTGGGGTGCTTTATTTTTGTATAGCATAGCTGTGCACTGTTGATTTGCATCATGGCTTCGCCGCATAATTGCAGTGTGACCTTGCACAAGTTACTAAACCTCTCTGGGCCTCCATTTCTCCCTCTGTAAAACAGGAGGAGGATAATTCCTACTGCATAGAGTTACAAAACTGAGATAAGGGTCGTGAAAAGGCTAGCCCGGTGCCCAGAGCAAAGCTCAGTAGATGCGACCTAGCATCACTATTTCTAGCATCATTGTTGGGGTGGGCCCACTTCCCTGACAGCTCTGAGTGGTGGGAGAGACAGGCCACTTTGCAGATGAGGAAGGTGAGACCCGCGATGCCTCGTCCAGGGTCTCAGCTGGCCAGTAGCAGAGCAGGAAGTAAGGCTGGGGCCACCTCTTCTCTGGGCCTGGTCTCCTGCTCCACCTGCTGTCCCCCTCCCCTCCCGGAGGGTAAGCTTGTGAATCTTAGGTGGGAAGCCCCGAAGATGTCCTGACTTTGTCCCAGGAGCATGCCAAGGAGGCGTCACAAGGGAGGCTCTTCCTGCCCTATTCGTCCTGTCCGAGAGGACATTCCCACAGCGGTGCCCGTCACCACTGAGTTATTAATACTCTCTCTCTGCTGGACTCCTGGTCACGAATACGACCAGGCTGGGCAGCGCTGGACATGATTAACCCTCTAATTGACCTTCAGTCCTAGCCACGGGCACAGCCGGCTAGATCCACACACAGCAATGCCTCAGTTTGTTCAGGCCTTGGCTCAGAGAGGCTCTCGCCAGCCACTGGGCCTCCAGCTCACTCTGGCATGGAAAGCCTCAGCCTGGCCCATTCATTCCCAGCATAGGCCTCTCCCACATCAGCTCCTGTCCTACAGGCCAGAAAGGGCCCCATTAGGATGGAGAAGGGGTGTGGGTTTCGCCTGGCCATGTGCATCTGCTCTGCAGGGTGCAGGCTGGGGCTTCAGGGGCAGCTGCATGGCTGGGAGATCTGGGTTGCTGGGGTGAGGCACTGGTAGGAGACTAGACCTGAGAGTAGGGGGCCAGGCCTGAGATCACAGACCCGCCTTTCCCCAGTTCTGCTCTGAGGTGGTGCAGAGGTGAGCAGCTCCCAGAAGCTGCTGCAGGAGCTGAGGAAGGAAGACGGTGGGAGGCATCTGGGCATGGAGGGAAGTCGGCCCGTGGGTGAGATAATGCCTGCAGTCTGGTAACTGCTTGGCCATGGGACAGGTTAGCCCATTTATTTGGTAGATCCAAGGCTACTTGCTGGCCTAGAGAAGACAGGGAGGAGTGGAGCAGAGGGAAGGCGAGGCAGCTGGATGCCGCCTCTCTCGCTGGGCTCCCAGCAAGTTGGTGTGTAGGCCTTTGCCAGCTGACCTGTCCCCAGGCACAGGCACTGCTGCTAACCAGAGGGACAACTGGTCTGTAAAGGCCATTTATAGCCACTCCTGGAAGGAACCTGGGCTCCCATCCCTTGCAGTCGTCCCCAAGCCTGGCCTCACCAGATGCCAGCTCAGCTCTGCAGATGATCCCAGCCAAGTCCCAAACCCTCTCCCTAGGAGCTCTAGGGACATGGACATCACCTCACAGTGGCAGTGTGGTGAGGCAGTATTACCAGTAGATGTTCTCACACACACACACACACACACACACAGCATTTACTGTACACTGGGCCATGTTCTAGGTGCTTTGTATGGAGTAACCCACTTAAGCTTTACAGTTACCCTATGAGGTAGCTGGTGTTACCAGTCCCATTTCACAGATGAGGAAACTGAGGCTCCGAGGGGTTAAGAAACTTCCCTGTGTGCACCCAGCTAATACAGGAAGAGCAGGGACTTGAACCCAGGCAGGTTAGCCCCAGAGTGTGCCCGCCCTGCTGTGCTGTGGGAGGCTGGGGTTGTTTATCTAGTCTAGACATCAGGAGACTGAGTTCCAAGAAGTCTGGGACTTGGCCGAGGTCACTTGCAAGTCGCTGGCGATGCTGGGACAGGCGTTCTTGTTCCCCCAGGTTTGGACTATTCCCGGCCCCTGCCTCACCTGATGATGTTCAGTGCATGTCCTGGAGGGGTGGGCCGGGGGAAGAGTGTCACACCCCTGCCTCTGCAGAGACCACCACAAGGGGCCAGGTAGGAGGCCCACCTAGAGCAGGGGTGGCATTGACCTTCTCCAGGGCTTTGTGCTGGGTGTCAGCCAGATCTGGGAGGCACTGTCATTCCCAGCACTAAACTGGTTCCTGCTGCAGTCTCTCTACTTCTGATGGCGTGTCCTCATGAGCCCTGGCTGTGCCTTCTCAGAGATCACAGAGTGAGTCAGGAAGACCCCCGGGCCTCCAGCACAGCCCACAGTACAGTGATGCAGACTTTCCTATCGCTAGGCTTGGGGTGGCTGGCAGTGGTTAGGTGTCTGCTGGGAAGGCAGCCTGTGCTTTGTTTACTTATTTATCTATGAGTTGGGGTCTCACGCTGTCACCCAAGCTGGAGTGCAGTAGCACACTCACGACATACTGCAGCCTCAACCTCCTGGGCTCAGACAATCCTCCTGCCTCAGCCTCTGGAGTAGTTGGGATTACAGCATGTGCTACCACACCCAGCTAACTTTTTTATTTATTGTAGAGATGGGGTCTTACTGGTCTGGAACTCATGGGCTCAAACGAGCCTACCGCCTTGGTCTCCTAAAGTGCTGGGATTACAGGCATGAGCCATTGTGCCTGGCCTTGGAATCCTTTTTCAAGCATTGTCAACACTTGGGGTTTGTCACTGCATGGGTTTTTCTCAGGACCAATTCCCATGAGTTAGTGTGAGTGCCAGGAAAGTAGGTAAGGTGCCTGCTGGAGGTAGGGCCTCCTGCCCCCACCAACACACTGCCAAATACCTTGGGCTTCCTTTAGGACTTTGAAGGGAGACAAGTGACCCTCTGTCCAGCCCATGTCTCTTCCCTCAGCACCCTGCCCAGCATCCCTCTAGGTCCTGGTGAAGGCCTAAGAGGTAATAAAGATGAGGGATGGAGAAGGGTGACGGTACTCCCAGCCAGAAGAGCTCTGCTTAAAGGCTACCCCCACTCCTCCCACCACCAGGAAGTAGACAGATGGCCCCAGGTTCCTGTGTCCTCCTGCCTTATCGTTGGGTCATGACCTCAATGACCAGGAGACTCAGGGCTAATTTCTGCTGATGGGGTGCGGCCCTGGGGCTGGCTGTTCAGTGAGGCCCTGGGCTGTCTGTGTCACTACAGACCCAGCTCTGCAGCCCCGCGGGGCCTGAGTGACAGCCAGCCTGCCGCTGCTGCTTGATCTGAAAGGAGGGTCACTGACAGCAGGGCCTTGGGTGCATTTGGCTTCCAGAGTGAGGACAGATGACATTACCAGTGATTCTAAGGTCCCAAGACCTCACTGATGCCAGACACAATGACAGATGCCACCCATCAAGCCGAGGCGGACAAAGGCACCCTAACCTGTCGCTACCAGTTGGCACATTTTATTTTCAGAGCACTTTGTGTCTGTGACCTCTACCCACATGCTAAATCTGAGCTCATTAGCAATTACGGAAGATGCACCTCTTTTAGAATTCACCACTCTCAGCTTAGGGAAGATGGCAGATGAAAACACAACTCAAACTCGTAAGGGTTCACACGGAATAAATCAGTCATGGACTACATCTTATCAATGTCTGTCAGTTCATATCTGGAAGCTGTGGCTGACTGTGACCATTGTCAGGCCTGTTCACAAATCCTGGTTTTCCCTGTGGGAACCCAAGACAACTGCAGCCCAGAAGGTA